CCTGAAGGAGGAACCCTTTTCGTTCGGGAGGAGCTCCGTGTTTTCCTGAGGTTTTCCATGGGCAATCGAAGTTCAACTTGCGGGGAGAAAGGGGCCCCGTTCCTCATTTATGGTTCCTTAGGTCAACGCCCCGACTGGAGAGGAGCACCCTGGATCATCCCACGAAGCCGAGCAAAAAGCAGAGGGAATGGACTTCCGAGCGATGGCCAGAGGCAGGCTGGGTGCTTCGCAGAGCCCCTCGAGGGCCGGTCCACTCGGCGCGCTCTCCGGGCGCTCCCGGAGGCAAGCGGAGTCCCGCCTGAAGCCGCAGGGTAGGCAGGAGCGGGCCCCGCGAGACCACAAGGATCAGGAGGAAAAGAAACACACAGACACAATTAATCCTCGATTTCCCAGAAAATATGGGAAAATATGGGAAGTGGGCGGGAAGACAGAAACCCAGAAAATATGGGAAAATATAGGGGATTATTTTATTTGTGTGTATTTATTTGTGTGTCATTGGGCCCCTTTAAAGGAGGCGTCGAAGTCGGCTTGAAGTGCATTCCGAGAGAGCCCAAGAGCACGTGGCATGACGCCACTCGCTCGGGGCGCTCTCCGAGCGCTCCAGTGTGACCAGGGCGGGCCTGTTTCGGTTGAGGCGATCCCTCCAGCGAGTCCGTCCGTCCGACGGGGGGCGGCGACGTAGTCGTCGACTTGTCGTTGTCGCCGTCGCTCATCGTCCGCATTCGATCATACATGCGACCGGACAGACAATCCAACAGCATGTCAGATGCGGCCGACGCCATCGTCGTTCGTCCACACTCGATGAGTGATTCGACCAGAAGAACTGTTTCCTTCTGTGTCGCAGGCACGCCCTACAAGCACTGCCCCTCTCAACGTCGATAGCGGTGATCACACCACATGTTCACACTAATCAGCTACAATGCTGGGATCTGCGCGTGCGTGAAGGGCGAGCAGTGGCATTGGGCGCTTGCGCGGCTGAGCAAGATGTGGGGGGCGAAGCTGGAGCCCCCGGCGAAGCCAGCTACAGCCCTGCGATCGTCGCCCTGCTGCGGAGAGACGATACGACAGGCTAGTCAGCTACAACAATGGGGAGCAGCTCGTGAGTGAAAGGTGGGCAGTGGCAGCGGGCTCTGGTGCTGTTCAGGGAGATGTGGGAGGCGGTGATGTTGTTCGGATGTTTTCCGAACTACAGCACTGGGATCAGCGGGCGCAAGAAAGGATGAGCAGCGGCAGCCGGCGCTGGCGCTGCTCGGCGAGATATGGGAGGCGATGCTGGAGCCCAATGCCATCACCAAATTCAGCGATGGGATCAGCGCGTGCTGGAAGGGCAATCAATGACAGCAGGATTTGTTGTTGCTCAGCGAGACGTGGGAGGTGAAGTCAGAGCCCGACGTCATCAGCTACAGCGCTGTGCTCAGTGCGTGCGACAAAGGCGTTCAGTGGCTGCGTAGTTGAGCGCTGCTCGGCAACATTGGAGCCCGACTCCATTCTTTAGCGTCATCTCTCTGCGACGGCGAGCGGCTGCAGCGGTCGCTGGAGGTGCTCGGCCGCGGAGGCGGCGGCGTGGGAGGGGGGGCCTGCGAGCTCCCGTGCGCGCAGGGCCGTGCCGAGGGTAAGCAGCTTGCACGCCGACGCGGGCGATCCTCGGGCCGGGCGAAAGGGGGGGATTGGGAAAGGGGGGGTTACGAAATTTGCTGCATGCAGCTGGTTTCGGCCTCACCGAGGGGCCCATTCCTCGATACATAGCCGCCTCCGGCGCCGGGAGGCGCTGGGAAAATCAGCTACGTGAGCTGATTCTCAAACCCCCCCTTTGCTATCCCCCCCTTTCGCCCGACCCGAGATCCCCAGGGGCTCGACGGTGCACTCGACCCCCCTGTGTCCACCTCCAGCCTCAAGGGCAGGATCTTCAGCTTCAAGGGAAATGTATCTTGCAAGTTGCCATAGCTGAAAAGGACTTCGCAGCGCGCCTCACTTCTTGTCCGTCACTCGAACGAAGGATTGCAAAAAGAAGGATTGCAACGTGGGATTTTTTTTTTTTTGCAATGCAACGTGGGATTGCAAAAAGAAGGATTGCAAAAAGGTGCGCTGTTCGCCCATGTCCGAACGTGCCAATGCCAGCGCTGTAGCTGAGGATGTTCGGCGTCAACTTCGCCTCCCACATCTTCGTGAGCAACGTCCGATCCCTAATCCCAGCGTTGTAGTTGACAACGGCGGGCTCCAATTTCGCATTTGTTTTACCGATCGGCGCGGGCCCTCCCCCCCCCTCCCCCCCCCCTCATGGAGTAGATCTTGGCTGTTTTTTGGCGCCTGTTTCGAGCAGGTAGAGCCTCCCCCATCGGACTCACTGTTGTAAACAGTCGCACTAAGCATAGGTTCGGAGCCAGCCCTTCCCGTTTCCCCCCCCTTCCGCCCAAAGTCGAAATGCCGAATGAGAACACGTTATCCTTCTTTCCCCGGGACTGGCTTATCACCCTGGCCAGTTCTTGATTCGATGATCTTC